TCACGCGTGTAAATAATTGTAGAGGGACCGCATATCCCATAGGGATGGAGGCACCGCCTCCAGCGGTGTAAGATCAATAATAATAATAATAATAAAAGATATAACGTTAAGCTTTTTTTATTTTTTAAAACGGATATTTATTGTGACGGTCCTGGAAATGGCCTGGCAATGGCACAGGTTATCCGAGGATTGGTACGAAAAATACTAGATTGAAGAGTGTAAGAAGGAAGAAGCCGAAGGCTTCCTTGCAGGTGGTGTCATGGCGTAAATCGTAAATCATCGGCGTCGTAGCTACGCTATAGGGAGGTTTTTGGAAGATTTGTCATGGATGCATACCATCCTGAAGACAGAAAGACATTTTAAGTTGATTATTTTCTCGTTAAAAAATACACGAAAAGTGATCCTCTCTCCCGGGCACCGGATGCCACACATTTGCTCATCACCGGCTGAAACTATCCACGTAGATAGCTTCTTGGATAAGATCTCATCTAGTAGATAAATGACAACAGTCCAATATTCCATCCCGACACAAAGTGTCACAATGTGTTTAATGGTGTTTATACACTGGATGAAAGTGACACAATGTGACACAATGCTAAAACATAAGTAAGTAATTCGCCCACTTTATACTTTGAAAAAGAAAAAGAACCATTTAATTCGTAACACTCTGCTTCATAACATATACCATACCTACTAAATCCAAAACTTCCCTTCTGCCTCCAGTCAACGCATCCCGCACTCATGAAAACTTATGCCTTCTCCACAAAAGCTTCCTGAGCAGCCAAAACCTCCGCCGGAGCCATCAACTGTTCAATCCCATAACACAAATGCTGCAACCCCGAATTAATCTGCTCCTCCGTCCCCTCAAACCTCGGAATAGTATACTCATACAACACAATCTCCCTCCCATCAACCTCCTTCTTCCAATGTCCCCTCTCCTCTTTCGTAGGAGGCACATAAACCCACCCCGACCCCTTCCTAAACGGTGTAGGCACATAAGCCTTCTTCCCCTGATCCTTAGTATCAACCATTCTCTGATAAACACTAGGATGAACCTCCTCATTAAACCTAGTGAAATCAATCGGAATTTTAACCCCGTCATGATCCCATTCGTCAAAAGCTTTTGTTTCCCCGGGGGCACGATAATAAGATGCCTTTGCAGTCGAAACTAAAGAAGGAATCCACCAGCCGTTTAACCATCCGTTATTATCTTCAAACGTCCCATTACTCCATTTGATCTCTCTCCAGCGCGCTTCTAAATCTCGAATCTTCTTCTTGTCTTTCCCCGTAACGTCCCATTTAATTTGGCCAATACGCAAAAAGATGTATCGCATCATCACTTCCATGCTGAATTGAAGCATCCCATAAACTTGATCGCACATCCAAGCAAAAGTGATTTCATCAACAGAGTTCGTATCAATCGATCCCTTCGAGTGACCCCCAACGTCAGAGTGATAACCAGGGAACCAAACCTGTTTAAGATTGACTTTTGGGCTCCCGTCTTCATGAAGACAACTATGGTCTAGATACCACAAAGTAGGAGGGAAATTACCTCTAGTCTCATCAATAGCCAACGCGTGAAAAGCATTTTCAATTTTTGGCGAAAGTTTAGTCGTGTGATAAGTCGTATCATCGCCCGCCTGCCCGAACCAATTCGTGATATGAAGACTTCCGACGGTATCCCATACTCCAACGACTTTGATCGTAACGTGCAAATGACTGTATTCCTGCAAATGCTCGAGTCTTGTAGGTTTGTAATTCGGGTTATCTTTCGGCGGGGAACCGAGTTCACCAGCTACCATAACAGTATTTGCCCATTCAGTCTCAACGAAATGTTTCTCCCCTCGGTTTCTGTACGCTTGATAAATCTCAAAAAAGTGATCCATCATCACCGGCGTCAGAAGGCCAACTTGACAGATGAAACCGGCTAGGGATCGAGCAGTATAAGCACCGCGGGAGAAGCCGAAAATAAAAATTTCATCGCCTGGTCCCCAGTTGGATGCGAGGAAATTGTAGGCTTCGCAGACGTTTTCTGCTAGACTGCCGCCAAAGGCTCCTTGTCGGGATTTATCGACATAGGTTAGGGAACCGGTACCGACGCCGGATTGGTAATAGACGATTTGAGGAATCTTTTCGCCGGTTTTTGTGAGACCGACTCGGGAGATGGCGCGGCTGATGCGACCGACGTTGCTGGCGTAGTCGTCTGTTCCCTTGTCGACGCCGCTGAAGGTGCCGTCGCAACAGACGATGAGTCGTTTTTTGATGTTGACTCGGCCGTTGTATGAGGTGCAGACTTTGCAGTCTGTGATTGAGGTTGTCTCCATGGCTGAGAAAAGGATGTGTGTGAATAAAGAAAGGTAGAGTTTGATTGATTTGTAGCTCGAAAGTGGAATTCACCTCGATATTTATCTTCTTCAAAGTGCCTCTCTCTCTGTTGACTTTGTAATCTCCACTTGAAAAAAATATTGCGGATTGATTAACTGAATTGAGACTTTCAGCTACAGATTCAACAGTCTAGGCCCACCTAGCTGAGGGTGTCAGGGCGCTATTGCCAATAGAGCGTGGTCTGGCCTGGCTGGGCAGACCTTGCCACGTGGTTGATCATTGATGCGCGGGTTATTACAGGGGTGTGAGTTGCTTCTCTTGTCTACCTGAACCAGGAAGAAAATTTCCTCGGGATGAATGTTATTTGTTATTGTTGGTTGTGGTGATTTTTGTGGCGAGTGGTGACAGGTGTTTCTTGTTGGGCTGGTTTATGAGGTCTGGATGGTCTAAGATCCAAAGTCAACCACACCACATCGGTATGCGGTTTGTTCCCAGAACCCAGAGGGGTGATCGCTTCTAGGACCATCTTGATGGACAAGAAAATTACATCACCGTTGGAACCAGGACCTGAATAATTTACTCATCAAAATGCATCAAATCTTTGCCAAAGTAAGTATCGCTGCGGGAAGCACATCGTGGCTCCCAGAGTCCCCATGCTCATAATGTCGGTTTAAACCCGTCCTCAACAACAACACACAGAGTGTCAGACAGCCCGGTTAGCTCAGCTGGTTAGAGCGTCGTACTAATATCATTATCATAATATATTTAGTAAACAATGCGAAGGTCAACAGTTCAATCCTGTTACTGGGCAATTTCCTTTTGCTCTTGGGTGCGAAAGAGTCAGCATCCCCACTTGAAACCATGGTTGAATTCATTTTTGCCTTTTCTTTCTACTTTAGGGGACCACCAGCGGCTAATCCTGCGTTCAGGTAACAGTGCGGACACGTTGACAAAAAGTCTATCTTGATAAATTCTAACATGCAACCTCGACGCCTAGCGGGCAGCTAATCTGTGGCATACTCCAGTGGTTGGCTGGTTCCGATTTCTACATAATAGCCTACTTATGATTTAGTACATGTAGCTAAGCTAAAACATCTCAGCGAGGGTTTCCAGCGTATTTCACGAAACGCGCAAACAATCAGGAAACTAAAACAGCTATTAAAACGCAAATGCCCCATAGTTTCATGCCAAATTCAAAGAACTCCAACGAAGTGGGGATATCGCTCGCTATACCAGCAATAAATGACACGACAACGGCGGTCCAGAAGAGCACTAGCACCGGTGCCCTGCACAGTATCAGGGTTCGGTTGATGACAGACTTCGACCGTTGATTCCGCGGGAAGTCAATCCGAAAGACCCGCCCCAAAAATTGAAGGCACAACCTGGTACATGGCAAACAAAAACAAGCCGGCGCTGACGATCAAACCCAGATAGTCATACAAGATCAAACCCAGCTCCCTCACGAGGAACTGCATGCCTAGGAGCTCAGCCCCAAAGCTGAGAGGCAGAAAAATGGCTGCCAGCAATGCCAGCCTCTCTACCTTCTGAGATTGAAGTAGCTTGATTTTTTCCTCCCGATCGCTCAACCACTTTCTCCAGGTATCTCTGAATTCCTCGGCTGACAAGCAAGTGACTGGAGTGCAGGTCGGCTTGAACTGCAAGCTTAAGCCTCTTCAGCCAGTCGTGATTCACACTTTTAGTGTGGCCAGGCTGAGCTTGATTCGCGTCGTCCAAGGACAGCCATTGGAAAAAGTGCTCAGCGGCTAGCTTGGTGAGCGATAGATTCGAGATGTGGTTCTTAAATAGGGGGCAGTTTCGCTTAAGTTCTGCGATCTTATCCACTTTTCCACCGTCATAAATAGCAGAAGAATTGAGGCAGGAAATAGTTGCTGGAATGTCTCGTTGCAATCTTGTATGACTTTCGGAAACGGCGCGGAATATATCGAGATGCAGTAGCTGGCACAGCCTGTGACTGTCCGTCCTGTCGTCTGCTAACCGGGTTGTTGCCGAGTTGTTGAGAGCAGTAAGTTCACAAAACATTCCCTGCAACTCCGCTGTTAGTCAAGAGAGAGGATCCTGAAGATTTGCTCTTGACTGGGGGTGGCTTCATGTTTGGTAAGTCTTTTGATGTCGGCGAGGTCTGTGGCCGAATGGAGAGGGGTGCTTTGGTCTCAAGATTGCCGGCGAGAACGTTTCAGCTTCTCTCTGGTTGGGGGCAACGGCGGCAGCTTCTGTAGCTGGCGAGGCATCGAAGAGAGTACCATTCGCCTCCTCGGGGGTGGTTTCTGGCTCAGCAATTATACTGCCGGTTGTCTCGGAGTTCGTGGTCGACGCCATACTGGCTGCGCTTGACTGTGCGCACTGTCGGCCCACACCGCGAGTGAGAACCTATCTACCTTGACGTATATGCAGAAGAGCGAAGTGACAAAATATGATGTCTCAACAGAATAAAACGATATTAATATCAAAACTATTGTTGATGATGGATAAATTGGTCAAAATGTTGCTTTCGAGGGATTGTTGTGTCAGGATGATCTTTCAAAGGTGGGCGTTCCACGAGACCCCCGAATACTGAACCGGCTCTCCCCGTGCCACGCGTCGCCCATCCCCTGGTGCTGATTTTTGCCGACGTCCGGAGTATTGACACCCTCCACCTCTCGTACTCCTCAAGCACCCTGGCGTGCATGGGATACGGCGCCGCAACTCCGTCGAACTCGAATACGATTGTGTAGACAAAGCCACCTGTCATGTTGGATCTTGATTAGTCTGAGAACAATCCGGACACAGGATTGCGAGAATTCCAATCACACAACTTGCGCATTGCTTGCCAATACGAAATGTCTAGGTGCCTTCCTGAAATACCCTTCGAAACGTCTGGTCTTCCAGATATCTGAGCTAAGCGATCTAAGAACGGGGCGCAGGCGATGACCTTTGCCGAGACAGTGTTTATCTCGGCTTTCTGAAGCGCAATCAGGCTAGACTTGACGTAGATGCCTCGTCGATAAGAGGAGGCAGATCCATTGCCTCAGAGTGAAGTGCGAGGTGCGTAACGTGTTTTTGGCGGAACATGATGGTTTGAGGGGAAAAAAAGAAAAAGAAAATTGAATTGAGAAGTAAGTTGGGGAATTTTTGAGGAGAGATAATAGAGTGGAAGGCGTCCGGAACCTTCACTTCCACTACAATGGGAAGGAAGCCACAGATCCAATCGGCCCGCTGCACTTTGTCAAGGGCAACAGACGTCATTTATTGGCCCACTCAAAGTTGTTTGATCTGCCCTGGTTGATCCACTTGATGAAAAGGTTTCTTTTGAGGCCCTTCCCTTCCATGGTTCCTTACCCAAAGACGAAAGTCATCAAACAGATTGCTCTCAATGATTAAAGCAAGCTCAGATCCAAAGAATCAAATTCACTCTTGAATACTCCATCATTCCAGGATCTCCACCCAGATTGATTAAATGCAACCACTCCTCAATGGCGAAATAAAATCATGTGGTCTAAGACGATGCAGAAATCAAGGCAGCAACCCCGTTGTGAAAATCTCGGAGGATCGGGAACGGAGCCTTTGTCGGCGGCAGACGGCGCAATCTTTGATCGGCTTCGGCCCATGATCCTTGCTGCGCCGTGTGATGCCTAAACCAGACCGCCATTCACGGAGGCGATGTGCCCGGGATGGAGATTATTTTCTTTCATCCTTCAATAATTTGCATCAAGTAGACGCATGGAACATGTGTTGACGGATTGTAAGAGTCATTTTCACTGTGGTTGTGGATATTGACAGCCTGCTGCTGCCTGCCCTGCCTGCTGTGCCTGAATAGTGGAACCGAGCCTTGTGTAACCACTCTTTGGGAAGAAAGTGAAAAAAGTATCTTCTATAAAATCAACCAGATTTCTTCCCATCATCACAATATCTTTTTTCCCTCATCATCATCATCTCAACCTCAAACTCTTCTCTCAAATGCCAAAAGAAATGGCCCGAACAAAACAAACCGCACGTCGATCTTGCTTTATGGGAGTACCTGCAGTCAAGCTCTCCAGGTCCCACTCAGCCATGGAAGACTCCTCACAGCAACCTCTCGCCAAGCGCGCCAAGACCACATCAACTAACACGGCTGAAGTCCCCCGAATCTCCGGCATTCGCAACCTCTACAACCATTCGGCCGACCGTAACCCTCAAACCGCCAAGTGGTCCGAGTTTCAAGACTTGATTCTCGAAGAGAAGCATCTCAAGGAACGTGGTCTCGCCTATCCTGTAATCCAACGATTCTCCAAGCATGTCTCTGAGGAAGACGGCGAGGTCTCTTGGAGCACCCATTCGATTGAGATTCAGAGCCCTCGTCTCAAGGCCATCTTTGACAAGGTCTTTGTCGGTTATCCCGAATGGTATCCTGATGCCGCCCCTTATACTTTTTTTCCTCCCTTCAAGTCTCTTGTTCATCGCTGGGATACAATCCTCGAGGCTTTCAACGCCGTCGAGGATGATATTACCAAGGATGACATTGCGCTCACTCGCCAAGTCTTGGATCCTCTGCTCGCCACCCACCTTTCAGCGCTCAACAAGGCGCGTGAGACTCTGGTCGTTTCCCACGAGCAACTCTGGCTTCTCCTTGCCCCCGGAAGCATCATGGTCTCTTCAGAGCAAGGCAGCACATGCGCGCTTCGTCTGATCAACGTCTCCTACAGACCTCCCAACAGACGATGTGGTATTCCGGCCAGCTGGGACCTCTTGCTCGGACAGTATGACTGGAACGGCAATTATTGTGGTCTCAGGGGCGTCTCCAAGGAGATTAGCGAGTACGCAAAGGACACTCTAGTCACCAAGTTTGATGTCTATCCTCTGGAGTTTGCTCCAGGCAAGGAGAAGATTGAGCAGGAACTTCTCGCTCGTGGTCAGAAATGGGCTGAGCTCCGCGGCATGCACGTCAAGCATTGTGTCGGCAAGAAGTATGTCAAGGTTCTCGATCCTAACGGTCGCCCGGTTGAAATTGCCAAACCAGTAAGTATCTTCTTTTTTCCTTCCCCAAAGTAAGCCCTGACTAACACAATTATTCAGATCTCCGGTCGCGTCATAGTCGACTCTTGGGGCTACTTCAAAGGTCAAAACCAAGTAATCCCTAACCTCTCCCGCAACGCCCTCAAGATTGAATCCGGAGACACCGAGGACAACAACACCGACGAAGACGAAGAGGAAAACGAAGAAGAAGAAGAAGAAGAAGACATCGACGAAGACGAAGAAATGAACGAACAAGCCACCCCCACCACCTCCTCCAACGCCGATTCCTCCTCCACCACAGTCAAAGACGACGCCAAACGCAACGAAGAATTCAACACCCTGACAACAGAAGAATACATCCTCTCTCCCCCCCGAGTCCGCGGTTTTGATCTCCGCACAAAGGAATGGTGTCTCTTTGACGTCAACGACCTCTCCAACCCCCACTGGGATCCCACCCCATACGAAAAACTCGTCTTGCCAGGCGGAACCAAGGAAAAAGAGTTAATCCTTGGTTTCTCCTCTCACAAGTCCGCTTCGTCCAAGTTTGACGATTTCGTCGCGCAAAAGGGCAAAGGCATCATTATTCTCCTCTGTGGTCCTCCCGGTGTGGGAAAAACCCTGACGGCAGAAGCAGTTGCGGAACAATCTCGTACTCCTCTTTATGTTCTCTCTGCGAGTGACTTGGGTACCAACCCGGCGAAAGTTGACGCTGCGTTGACTGAAGCGCTTGAATGCTGTCAAATGTGGAATGCGGCTTTGTTGCTTGATGAAGCTGATGTCTTTTTGGAGAGCCGCAGCGCAGCTAGTTTGGATAGAAATGAA